GTTCTTTGGTGCGTATACTCCAGACTGAAGGCTGACTACCACTTTATAGAAACTTATTGTCAGGGTCCTTAGCTGTCTTTGTTTATAAATCCAACCTGTCGTCATTTTACTATCTGAGCGCCACATGTCCGTCTCTGTTTCGCTCTAAACATCGAGCATGCACCGATGCACGCACTCGAATCAGCGGTCACTATACCCACATCTCCAGCCGATGTTTCTCCTCTTTTTCTTCCTGCTCCAGCTTCTCATCCTTTCACGCAATTTAAAGTATGACTTTTATGCGGTATCGTATCAATTAAAGCGGGTCTAACCAGAAACGCTCATCGTTGACAATGCACGGCTATCCCTGATCTTCCGTCCCATCATGAGCTTTTCGTCAATCGTGAGGTCCACAGTCTGGATTAGAAAGTCAGCAGACGAAGATGGTACTCAGCATCCCTTCCAACGTTGGCGTTGCCTAGCTTACTTACAATCAGAATATAACGACTGCGATGGACTCATGTGAGGGCCATAGTTTGGGCACCCAAATCATCGTAGATTTTGAGTCAGCATTAACTAGAGAGAAAGTCTACATGGTTCCCTCCAACAATTTTCGCCTATTATTTGCCTCCTTCTATGCTACTGGGTATTTGGTGAGCTTTACGAGCAGCGCTTAAAACGCGTACTGAATCACATCGCTCCAATGCATGTGTGCCACTCGATGCTTGCACACTTTATGCACTTTATTACATTTTACGCCCAACAGTCAATCCACAAACCGATGCATGTGGGTAAGGAGGTGAGGGTGGATGCGTAAATTCCACATATATCGTTGCTCATTTCTTGTCGTCGTTTGTGTTGATGGTCCACTGCTGCTGCTTGAATTAGAAATTGACTGCAACTAACAGATTCTTGCAAGTTAAACATTACCAGCACTACGGTACTAATGGGGCTGACCTTAGTAAGCCTGCCTTTTAGGATGAGATCATCAAATTCATGAAGAAGAACAACTGTGGCGAAGTAAATATCTGTGAAGAAGGAGTGGGTTACGAGAGATTGTGTGCTGAAATTGTCACCATGATTTCACGCATCGCCTCGCTACTTAGACCTATAATACAGCGGCAGCAGCAGCAGCAGCTGCGGTGGCATGGAGTGGACGAGGAAGGAAGAGGCGAGGTGAGAGGTAGAGAGAAGATGGTAATAAGATATTGCCAGTGGGTGAAAGAAGTGAGCATTGACACCGATGATACTTGAACACGCAACCTTCTGATCTGGAGTCAAACGCGCTGCCGCTGCACTACGAGGTGTAAAACTACTTAACGAAAGGTCAATTGGGCTGACCCTTTTAAGACCTGCGTCGACGCAGGCCTTCGTAATGTAAAATATTTAGCAGACCGCATGCGTCTTTTAATGTGTTTAATGTGCAGAAGTTGCCGTTAGACAGTTCACCTCACTTTTGTCTCAACAGTTGACTCACAACTTAGCACCAAGCGTATACGAAACACGAACATGACTTAACGAGTTCCATTACGATCCGACAGAAATGTGACCTGCATTGAACAAGGCTTTGAGAAATGTGCAAGCCGCAGTTCAACCTGTTACTGCCTGAGCATCGAAATAGACTATGCAATGTGTGAGGGGATTCGCTGTTCACTCCTGCTTTGGATACCACCACTGTAACCACAGTGGCAGGGTTTCACTCCTTGCAGGGACACGGCCGATCTTTAAAATAAGCCGACAATTCTTCATCAAAATTTGGCGCGACACTCGTCTGCAAGGTCGCCACGACTACTCACAACACACAAGCAGAGATGAACTATTAACTGAGCCATCAAAGACACCCATTCCGACATC